ATGGCGCCGATAGACGAAAAATATCATAAGGAGCTACAGTGGCTGAGACAAAACGAAGATGCGACGAAGGATGATGTAAGAAACATCTATGACAACTGGGCAGCCGAGTATGACAAGGTATGGAAGGGGGCGGGAGGGGGTTAGGGAGAGAATCAACTGTGCAAGAGGGTCTCCATGAGTAAGTGGCTTTTACGGCTGAAGATTAATATTTTGGTTTCTGTACTACTAACGGTTCATTTATTTTCCTTACGGTTAACAGAAACCTTAGAAACTAATTACCATTGCTTAATAAGTTAATAATAATTTGATCACTGTAAACATATCAAAGGGCTTAGGATCATTCCGGGATGGAAAAAAGTATTATTATAAGAACTGCGGACAAATATAGTTACTACTTAGTCTCCCGGCTTTACCCTGTACTACCAAACCGCAAGGCAAGACACAAAAAAGTCTTAAGCTTGACAAGAGATCTTGAGAATTTCACTTTCGTGGCTAAAATTATTTTACAGTTGACATTTTTTTTACGGCTAAAGGTTGAAATTTTCAAAGGCAACAGTTAATGCTGTTTTCTTGTTCTTCGCTCTGCCTCGACAAACTGAGGCTGTCGGGAAGAAAAACACAACTTTACATAAAAACCTTAAATCATTGCTTAATGACCTCTTTAAAAAAAATCCTGGGTAAACATAATCGCGAAAATCACTAAGATTTATGTCATAAGGGAAAAAGACTTTATGTCACTGAGCTTTTTGCCTTCGTTTTCTTTCTTGTGAAGGTCTTTGTCAGACTGTAGCTTTTCAAATTTAGCGTCACAGATACGTTAGGCACGGACCATTATATTTTTAAGTAGGGAGAGGGTTGGGCAATTTTCACTCGGTCGAGTTTTTCCCCCCTGGCTTTTCAGCATCACCGACCTTTTGATATGGGCGTTCCCCCACCGGGAGGTAATGAGAGTGCATGGGTGTTTGATCCCTAGCAAAGATGTGAATTAACAAGATCAATTTGCGGTGCAAATGTAGAGTGAATTAAGCTGGAAGTAGGAGAGACTCCTCTGCTCCCTCTTTGTTATCTTGCGTAGTGCCAGCGCGCGTTTTATTAGTAGCGGGAGCGAGAAGAGGGACGGACGCGTGTCTCAGTTCACCATCGCGCACCGTTCTAACACGCACGCCTTATCACTTTCAGACTATGCTGCACACAATTCCCTACACGAACTGGAGACACATCGCACACGCATTAGATGTGGCAGCTTTGAAGGCCTTTCCCTCCAAAAGAAAAGACGAAGTTAAAATAATCGATGTGGCAGCAGGAACTGGTTTTGCCGGTTTGGAGCTCATTAAACTTGGCTACACCAACATCGATGCTCTGGATATGTCGCAAGAAATGCTTAATCAGGCAAAGAAGAAAAATGTGTACCGGAGGTTGATCTGCAGTTATCTTAGTGACCAGAGGACATTAGAGATTGAAACGGGACAATATGACGCACTAACGTGTGTCAACGCCATTGGTAACAAGCATATCATACAAAATGCTATGACGGAAATGTGCCGGATTGTGTCTAAAGGCAAGCAATAGCTGGATATTTATATCTAACCGTATCTTTCTGGTAGGCTTCGGCAGGTTATCAGGCGAGTTTGGTTGAGTCCTGGTTCGTATTTTGGCGAGACATAATCAAGTCAAAATACTCATGGCCGTATCAAACGAACCTGGTATGCAGCCAAACGTACCAAAACGTTTTTACCATATCCAAATTTTACCAAGTGACCATGATAGTGTCGCAATATCAGGTCAATAAGTGGTCAATAAAATATTTACTTTATGGCTTTCGGGGAAATGTTTCTTGCGTGACACAGTGGCTAGTCCCGAGCGGACAAGATAGCTGTGCCATCTTGCCCGTTATGGTAGACAATCACACCGCAGGATTTGGTTTATTTTGCCCCCTCAGGGAGCTAGTCATATACTAAAGTCAAATAAAATCAACTCTTCAACGATTGTGGTGATCGTTAATGCATGTGGGTCATAAGGAAACTGCAGCGACTGCTGCGATAATGGTCATAACAGGAGGCAGTGCGTCGTTGATTGATCCAGCCGGAGGTCCCCTCTGGTGGTCGGAAGGATAGATCCACTTTTTTTCTGTCGATTGCAATGATTGCAGCGAACGTAGCGATTTTACGGAGACCATCCTTGAGCAAATAGTTTGCACATTTTGGACCTTGTTCCGGATGCAACAAAGGTTCCCCTGCAACCATCCTTTTTGTCCCAGATATTTGTAGGGTGAGAAATTCTTTCATCGGTACTTCACTTCGCAGCAACTTTATTTATTTATCTTGTTTACTTTTTATTGCAGGGGGTTTGCTTTGTTTTGATGTTTTCGACGAGGATATGATGGAATGGCAACAAAAGCTGCTGGAAATGGTAAATTCCGGGATTTTGGAATATGTTACAAAAGAAAAAGTTCCTCTTTACAACGTCGAAGGGCGTCAAACAGAAACAAATGCGTTTGTGTTTAAAGTACTGAAGAACTAAATTTACGCAAACTCACTCACACTCATTCACTCAGTGAAAGTTGCAAACTTATTTTTTGTCGCTTTTTCTAATTTAGATTTCCTGATCGACTTTTTTCATAACAAAATGGACGGTGCTCTGTTTTAATTGAAATCGTAGATAAAGGACTATTTCAATATCCCCTGTTTTAACCTTCAGTAACCTTAGGACTTGTGACTGTAGAGTGACGCGACTGAAGACTTTACAATAAAATCTCAAATCTCTGGGGACGGGTTTGGTGGCTTGACAAAGGGCACTCAAGGGTGGAAGGTTGGGAGTGGAATCCATTCAACTCACTCCGTAAATACTAAATCACTCGATTACAGAAGCAACGACTGAAGAGTCCTTATGCAGCACACGGCATACAGACCTCGGTAAGCTAGTTTTACTCTCTACAGATTAGGGACTGTTACTTCAAGAGGGCAGCTTTGACCACTACAAGAGTGACATTTTCGCAACTGAGGAAATCAGAACATAACACAAGAACACTCACTGACGCTAAATGTTATTAAAAGAAACACTTTGAAAAACAAGTTAGTGTTAAAACCGTTAGAGCCAAGTTCAGTTGGTACAAAATCCAACATGTTTTTCTTCAAATCCCAAACTTTCGACGAGACGTTCAGTTTCACGAGCGAGAAAGTAGGTGGAAGAGCTTTCGAAAAACAACAGACAGCACCCGATCGGAGGTTAGTTTTCTTTTTAAACTGAACGAGTTATATTGCTGTTAGTCAGCCTGAAAATGAACGTGATACGTTATTTTCGTAACGCGGTCAACATTGTTCAAACGACAATCTGTAAGGTGGAGAGTAAACTTTGGATGAGAAGACGAGCGCCTTCCAAGTCCTCGCTGTAAACGAAAAGAACAAAAATTATAACCAAGTAGACAGAAAATTCAAACAGAGAGGCAGTCAGTTAATATATAAAAGGTATGATATTCTGGGTCAGTTTCTAGATTTTTTGAAGCGAATTGGACGAAGGCAACAACAACAACAACAACAACAAACCTTTGTTCTGAGCTGTTGCTTTCTTTTATCCTTTCATTTATGTGAAGGGCGCAACTTTTAATCACGTTAGTATCAGCTTTACCTGCCAAAAAAAAAAAGAATTCTACTTGAGAATGACGCAGTATACCTTCCTTTCCAAATATCAGGAAAAAACGTAGCAGAACTAAAGGCGAGTTCATATTTCAGTTGGAGGAGAATCTGGTACAGACAATTTACGGGTTTTTTCTTTTACTGGTCTCTTGTTCGTTCGTGCCTTCACACTTCACTTATACTGTGGCGTACTTTTTGCAGTTCTACGCGTCAAAGAATGAACCACTGATCGACCGAATTACAGGGCAATAGCTCTCTCGATTCACATGGCAAAATAAGTGAAACGCAAGGCATAGATTTAACCCAACACAGACCTTGAAGTGCGCCTAGTAGGGAAACAGCCGCCGTCAGTGTGCCAACGTTTTCATCAAGCGCTCCTGACAATACAAGATGTTTCACCTCAAACATGAATGATCTACAAAGGAACAAAAAAAGACAAAACTTAGAGTAAACATGCAGGCCCCGTCGACACTACGCCGGAGAAACTTGAAAACGCAACAATAACCGGTTATTTTGGATTTGTAACTGAGGAAGACTCGGCCAGGGAAATCACGTAACTATCGTGATGTCATCGTTTTCGAAATTTCAAAGTTCCCCTTTCAAAATGTGTCCCTTCCACACTAAAACGCAAAGCCGGTGTTTCCAAATTGCCCCGCTTTGAAGAGCGTTTTCGAAAAAGCTCTGTTTTCGTGACGAATTAGTGTGGACGGTAGGCCTAACCGGAGAAATGACGCTCCCTTTTCAAATTACTCCGGCGTAGTGTGGACAAGGCCTAATATCATCCTCCATACTAAATTAACTAACTTAAATGACCCCATATGTTTATTTTCGTCTGATCATTTTACCTCAAGAGAGCTTGAGAACTTGTGATCATTTTCAGGATAGAGCTGGCGAGTCTTGGTAAATCTGCTGCGTTTGAATCGTCTTCCGATGCCGAGTACTACAATAACATGAAGAAAGCAAAGAGACAACACAGACTCAGTCATTGACTATAGTACGTTCTGACAGAGAAAAAAATAGGATATGGTACCATTTGAAAAAATCCCAACATAATTCAAACTGAAAAGGGGTACGGATTTATGACAAGCGTGTAAGGGTTGTCCAAAAGCGTTGTGAAAACGGCCAACTACATAAGCGATCAATGACAGCAGCATTTATCTAACACTTTTCCGTCTTAAGGAGGCTATGTCTTCACACATTGCATAAAAAGAAAAGCTCTTCTGTGTGACGGACAGCAGTTGAAAAAGGAAAATTGTGCAACCTCTCTGTGCGAAAATGTCGCTGCACTTTCCTGAACATTAGAATTTTGACTTCCTCGGTAACGGGTGTTTTCGAGGTTGTTGCTGTTTCGTATTACGAGATAAAAGTCACAAAAAAATGTGTAGACATTCAAGCTAGTCAGGACAATTCCTCTCCAGCCGGTACGTATGGACTGCGCTATTTATAAATAACACGCATATCCTACCTGTTGTGCGATATTTGTCAATACAGCAGACACCAGAGGAGCCATAAGACTAGTATTTGTCCCAGTTCCACGTCTTCCAAGCTCAGTAAGCAGAAGACCTTCGGCCAGAGCAGGTCGGAAAACGAGAAGGGCCTGAAAAGGCAGTTATTTAGTTGGGGAATGAGCGGAATACAAAGAAAAAATTGAAGTCACTTAAACTCTAAAATATCCCTGGTCTTGACATACGTTTCCCCAGGTAAGCACCTACCCACATCATAAATACCTCCGTAAAGAAAATGTAGACAGACAGACAGACAGACAGACAGACAGACAGAAAGACACTGACCGGATCATCAACATCATCAGGTTCGCTCTGATAGAACAGTTGTTCTATTTCATATACATATAACATGTTAAACTTCAGTTTGAAGTTGACCAGTTCTTACCTGGGGTAGAACATCAACTTCTGTATTGTCACAGGAATTCAAAATTTGAAGCACATTTGTCAACACAATCGACACCGGCCCTCCTTGGAGATTTACATTCCTTGATTCTGCAAGAAGAGCGAGTTATGGTCAAATTCATTTTTGCAATGCTTTGTTCCAAAATTCTCGAGAGGAATCGAGAAAGCCAACCCTCCCTCGATGTACCTAACATGAACCCATTTGTCTTTGACACACACAACATGTACTGTATGGTTTCCGGCATTTACTTGTAATTATAGCGCCCCGATGCTAAGCACCCACAAAACTGCAGCTAAGGTAATTACAGACCCGGCTTGTGAAGGAGATTTGTAGGGTCATAACACGTCACAATCATTTGGAATTATACAGTCGGCGAAACTTAAATTAACGAACTGACAAAAATCTCCACAGTTCCAAAGAATTTGGCAGCATACTTTGAATTTTCCTCCCTTTCCACACTTTCCTGACCTTCCCTCGACTAAGGAAGACTTTAGACAAAGCTAGTCTTTTCTTACACCCTCCTCCCCCCTACCCGCCCTCCATAAGGATGGACAAAACAAATGGGACAGGTTCTGATCCAGAATGTACATAGGAATGCCCTTAGAATGAATACTTACCATCTCTTAGAAGGATACTGTGAACGAGTTGGTACAACAGTTTGGAGAGCTGAGGCAAAAACGTCACCGCTTTACAACCTGTTGGAAGAGATAGTAATTGATAAATAAGTTCATGACAGAGTTGTAGGTAAAGTAAGCGCTACATTTTTTCAAAGTATTGTAAGGACGCAGAGAGCTTCTGTTTCCACAAACTCAACTCACCGATTTTTGCCAAAGACGTTGTAAAAACTGCCGCATGGTTGTAGAATTTTTCCTCTGCTATTCCGATCATGACCATCTCGCTCACGCACGTCAAAACGGTCTGAAAACGGACATTGTTAGTGAAAATAAATTTAATGCTGTAATATGAAGTATTGTACCCACTGTTCAGACATCTCGCATTCTGCCTCATTATATCAGTTACCGTTATTTTTAAACTCAACGCCAGTGTTGGATTCAATTCCAACTTAACGAAGAAGGGAGGTTTAAACTTACTGTTGGGCTCGAGATTCACACGTTAATGAAAACTAGCAGAAGGACTCTTATATTGTGCTTTTGGCAAGTCTTTAAGTCTACAGTGCCTCTCGCTACACAGTTTTATAACATGCCACAGAAAACTACAGCCAATCAGAATAGAGGAAAGTCGTTGTATACTCGACGGTATTACAATCCGCCTTCCCATCGTGCGCCGCACGCATGTCGCACTGATTTTGTTCACAAAGGTGTTTCCTATGACATGGTATAAAACAGCCATGCAATGCTTTCGGGTTGTATACCACGGAATACCCCACTTGTCACAAATTGTAGGGAGAGGAGTATCCTTGCTCATTTTGGGGACCGTTCATTTTTTATGAGGGAGGGGGGGCTGGTGGGATTTGGGAAGCACCATTTAAAAATCGCATGACCCCCCCTCAGCTTACCAATTTT